ATTCATTAACGTTGTCGTATTTAGTTTTATAGTTTCCACTTGTTCACTTAACAGTACCAGATCATCCGCATAGCCCAGCACGGGTGTTGTCCCACCCAGATCCAACCCTTTTTGGGTATGCATTACCTCCCTAATAGTATGTTCTAATGCCAAATTGAACAGGATAGGCAAAAGGGAATCCCCCTGTTTTAAACCCGAACAAACTTCAAATTTTTCGGACAGATTATTACCGATTCTAACTTTATTGAGTGTTTCCGTCAAGCACATCCTGACTAGATTTACTATTTTTTTTGGAATCCCCTGCTTGATTAGAATATTATACAGTTTCTGGCGGTCAATAGAATCGTAAGCCTTTTTGTAATCAATATGCAGCTGGTGAACAATACTGTTGTACTCTTAATTTTTCTCTAATATTTGCTGTAAAGAAAATATTTGATCAATAGTCGAATGATTCTGTCTGAATCCGCATTAGTAGGCTCCACTGATTTCCTCGGCGTATTTTGTGATTCTACTAGTTAAGATTAAAGTGAATATTTTATAACATACCGGAAGGAGTGAAATTCCTCAATAGTTATTACAATCCGTCCTCCGGCCCTTTTTGTGAATCGGAATAAGAATAGATTCTTTCCATTCTTCAGGTAATTTCTCATTCTCCCAGATCTTTTTAGCCAACCAATGTATTTTAGGAACTCCAGCTTCCCCGCATGCCTTAATTAGTTCAGTAGGAATATTTTCGGTTCCCGCTGCTTTATAAGATTTTATTTTTCCGGTAGCTACTACAACTTCCTCTTTACTCGGTTCTTCTATCAACGGTTCAGCACTCTGGTACTCAGGAGGACACAGATCATAATTTCCCGTATTTAAAATATTGTCAAAGTAGTTCTTAAACTTATATAATATGTCTACCGGATCGGTCAGAATATTGTTATTTTCATCCCTAATCCCAGACGTGACGGGCCCTACATATTTACGTGATCTGTTTATACCTTTGTACATGTCTCTTACGTTATTTTCAATTCTATTAGTTTCTATTTAAATTATTTTATTTATAAGATACTCCTTTTTTTTTATTTTTGAGCAATTATGTCGTTTCATTCTTTGATGTTCAAAAGTATTCCAGATTGTCTTTGCTAGGATTATTTAGAGCTTTTAATTTAGCAGCTTCTCTTTTTTCGCACATGTTTAAGCAATCTTCATCAGACCACGGTTTGTTATTCTTATTTTCCCTTTTTCCTAGACACGAGTTACCGACTGCTTTAATATTATCCCTGATCTCTACCCATAACTTGTCAACATCCTCGTGGTCCTCTTCAGAAAGCTCTAAAGCTTTAAACCTATTCTTGACATCTAGCTCGAATTGGGTTCTAATTGATGGATTTTTTAATTTTTCCAAATTGAAGTTCTCAAAATTGAAACGGTTTTCTTTTCTCTTTTTTATATCAAGTTTTAGTCAAAGTTTCGCGATTACTAATTTACGATCCGACCCACATTCTGCTCCGCAATAAGACCATACGTTAATTATACTGCTTTGCCAGCTATGTTGTATCAAGACATGATCGATTTGATTTTGTGTTTGCGAATCCGGTGATGTCTAAGTATATTTATGAATATCCTTATGTTTAAACGCAGTACTTTTAATTATCAGGTTTTTCAAGGTGGTAAAGTTTATCAGACGGATCCCATTATCATTACTATATTCGTGCAAACTTTCTATACCAATCGTCGAACATAATCTTCTTCCCTTCACACCTTTGCATTCGCGTCATCTACAATTATTTAATGGAGTTTCGCGGTAGTTTATCAAACACCCACTGTTTTCGGTCGGGCAATGTATGTTTATTAATGCCAATGCAAACCAACGTCCCTGAAATATAGCTACCAAAATTCTATCACTAAAGAATGGTACGTCCCTCAAAACGGATAGCAATCTATTCCTAATTAGAAACCCGATACCTAAACAATGATTCCCGCTTCCTCCGTACCAAATAGTATACTTTCCTTCCCTCATCGAGCCTTCCCCTGGCCAGCGAACCTCTTGCAGTGCCACGACATCCAAATTGTACCCATTGACCTCATTTACGACCGATTTTAAACCCCCCCTTACGTTCAACGTACCAATATTTAAATTATTTGAGCCATGAATCCCCTAAAGCAGTTCCCACCCGGAGACCCGAACGGGGGACTAGTTTACCTCCGGACAATGAGCGTTTACCTTAGGGAGATCCATGACTATTTGTGGTGTATGGTGAACTAAAGATATGTAAGTAGGGCACTCAATCCTACGTCACACCCTCCAGCAAGTCTGGTGGGCCCCTGCCTCCAGCAAGTCTGGTGGGCCCCTGCCTCCAGCAAGTCTGGAGGTCCCATCCCTCCAGCAAATCTGGAGGTCCCATCCCTTCAGCAAGTCTGGCGGTCCCCTCCCTCCAGCAAGTTTGGAGGGACACTGGCCATCCCCACATCCGCCACCCATGGGACGCTCCCCATACACGGTAATGAGCCCGCGCGAGGTGATACGTGTATTAATAAATAAAAATGATTTATATGTTTATCCTATTTATATCAATGGAAATTGGGAGTATGATTTTAATACTTTATTAGATGCAATGGCTGTAAACCCTAATTATAAGTATATTGTTATTGGAGATGTTAACATAAGAATATCTGATTCTCAAATGCTATCAGCTAACTATCAATGTAAATATAGCAGTAAGAGAAAATCTATAGATAAAATTAACAATTATAAAAGTGAAATATTTTTAAATATGTATGATGACTATAACTTAATAGTATTAAATGGCAGAACGAAAGATGACCCGGAAGGCAGTTTTACATATTTGGGGTCAAAGGGATGTTAAGTTAATGATATATGTAGTGTCTCAGGGGATATTCTAAATCTTATTGATGATTTTGAGGTATTGAATCAGAATTTTTCTGATCACATGCAGATTTTACTGTCAATAAAAGTAATGAACTCTAATAATAATAATGACATTTTGCCTCTATTGTTCAAAATCGCCTGGACTAAAGAAGATGAGAGGGGAATGGGGAAGACCAAATTAGATATTGTAAGTAATCCAAAAAATGGTAAATTTATTATTGGACTAAATTAAACAATGTGCATCCATGATAAATCAGAAAGAGAGGATTGCTATAAAACCAAAACAAGTATTGTATGATAGGAAATGTAATGCATATAGGAGTCATTCCTTCTCACTTCTGAAATTATTTAGGAAATTAAATATAGGTTGTGTGAAAGATCTTTATTTAAAGACTAACAGAAAGTATAAATATATATGCAACACAAAAAGAGTACAATATTCAAACAGGATTGCGGATAAGCTAAAAGCAGTTCCGGGATTCCGCTCTGAGTTTCGGAAATACTTACAGTATGTGATGTTAAAAAAAAAAATAATGCCTGTTTTATGCGGATGATGTCTTGATTGATTATGATTCATACACATTACAAATTATGATAGACAGATTAGAAAAGTATTGCAATATCTGGAATCTCAAAGTGAATCACAAAAAATCAAAAATAATGATTCACAAAGAAGGTGGGAAACTGGCCACAAATGAAAAATGGTATTTTAGGGAAAAATAAATTGAAATTGTAAAGTACTATAAGTAATTAGGTATAGGCTTAATCCCTCAATTATCGTTAGATACAAATTTTAATGAAAAAATATCGGTAGCAAAATTTGGAGTTAATACTATTTGGAACAGCCTTATAAGGAACCAGAACATATCTAAAAATGCCAAATTTATAGTTTCTGAATTGGTGGCAAGAGCTATAGTTTGTTATGGCTCAGAATTATGGAGTTAGGACAAAATACGGGAGATCGGAGGTTTTAACAAATTTTTTGCAAAGAAACTGTTCTTACTACCGAAGAACTGTCCAGATTACATATTATATCAAGAAACACAGCTAAAACCTTTATTCTGTCATACACTATCATTGTGGGGTATCTGTAATACAGTTTGATGATGATAAAAAGAAATCGCGAATAATTTATGATTTTTCTAAAAACAGAACTTAGCTTACTTTAGTCGCTCAAAAGTCATCTTTAAATAGTTTAGCAATGATAAACTCTAATTTCATTTAAAGTAAAATTTATCTAGTTTATAAGGAAGAAAATATTAATTAATTAAATTAAATATTTATTTGGTTATTGCTTTCGATTCAACAAAAAACATGACTCACTTAAAAAATCACAAAACTTAGATTTCCTAATTTTCTTCTGAAAATTGGCCTATTGTTTATATGAAATTTTTTGTACCTCTTGAGGTCTATTAGCACTCCTAGAAAAATTTCCCTTTACTTACGCGACACCATGTATAAATGATATTGCAGGAAATGAGGATGGAGTTTTAGAAATGCGGAAATGGACATTAATAATTTATTGTTATTTTAATAAATGAAAAAATTGAGAGAAGGCAAGGGATGTTTATTGCTTTTTTTATTAACAGGTTTTTGTTCTGATTGCGTTAAAATGCTATTGCTGATTAGTCTTTTATCATCATTAGAGATCACAGCAAGTATTGTCAAAGTCAAATATCTGGTTTGAGAATAAAGTGTGTTTGGAAAGTTTAGAGGCAGTTGTGTTTTTGGAAGAAATGTAATATTTATGTTGGGTGATGGAGTTATTAGGGAGATTTTTTGTTTTTGGTAAAAGAAGTTACAATTGGGTAAGGTACAGGAGGAGTAGATGTTGGGATGGAAGAGGGTAAAGAATTTAGAATTTCTTCAGAAAGGGAAGGGATACAAGGTTTAGATATATATAGGGGTATTGAGGAGGATTTTAATATTCATTAGTGAGTTTTTTTAAGGTGTTTAGGAGAAGGATAACGTTGACAGTAACAGGTGTCGTAACAGATCAGGATGCCATTGAAATGAAGAATGAGACAACTGAATATTATCTAGAGGGACTGGGGAAGGAACATAAAGATAGTCAAGACGCACTATGTCATGAGGCTATCCTGCTCAGAGATTTGTCGCCAACTCAGCCCTCATAGACAAAAAATTCAGGAGTACCAATGATGAACATGCCTTTTCGGTCGGGAGCCCTAACCCAGTCACCACTGGGATTCGCAGCTAATTGGGCCATTTTTAGAAGAACACAGAGACAGGAGGAACAGCGGGCTAAATTGGAAGGGACCGAAAAGGCTGATGTTCGATAACACACCTCAAAGAGAGGTCCAGAAACACTCCAGAAGAAGTGAAATAGAATGTCACGAGGTAAGTAGAGAGGAAGAGGGAACAAAACCCTGAACTAATCCTACAAGCATTAGCTGAAGTGGTTAATATTATCATTATAAGACTAGAGCTGAAGAAATGAGTTACTCTGAAAGGAATGTAATAAGGAGCTTATTCAAACAAACTAGCGTTCAGTAACCAAGTAGTCAAGATCAAGGTGGAAAAGGCGTACCTCCTTAGAAGTTGGAGGGTAGAAGGGAGGAATTGAGACGTCCATACTTCATCAATCGTATGAGCTGTCTTGTAAAACGAGGAGTTCCTTGAGGGCACCCAGCCAAGGGTGGCCTCTGGAGTGCTAACTACAGTGCTAGCCATGCCAGAACGAGAATTAAAAGAAGAGAAGAGGAAATATGAAGACGCCCTGGCAGAAAAGGATAGGGAAAGAGAGCTAGGGAAAGCTGGGCAGTTGGCAATGAGTACTAAAGACGGGCACTGGATGCTCATATTGCCAAGCCAGCCATACCAGAATCAGTTCCCAACGGAACAGAGGGGAGGAGGGACAGCTGTGAGGAACCCCTGCCGGGAATTTCAAGGCAGATGGAGAGTGATTTGATGCCAGTAACTATGCCACTCAGGGAAAAGGGAATGGCAATCTGTAGAGAAAGTGCGATATTCTCAAGTAAAGAAGAGGAAGAAGAAGGGTTTCCTACCATGGTAGGGAAAAGGAAAAATAAGAAGAGAGGATGAAGGAAAAAGGAAAGCAAGAGGAAGAATAATACTCCAGGACAACAAAGGAATAGAAACAAGGAGGCGAGTGCTAAAAAGAAGAAGCCAACCCATGAAGCAATAGCAATCAAGGAAGTATTCGACTGCAAAGTTACAAGATTAGTCAAAGAAATCTCAGATTCTGCAAAAGGACCCACCTACATCACTATAAGGGGAGAGGGTGAAGGCTGGAATCCAAGGGACATATGGAGAAGGATACATACAGAAGAGGAGATACAAAGTGCTGGAATAGAAGTTGAGATGCTTTGAGTAACACATGGAGAAAATGTATTGGTAAAAGTAAAGGACCGAGAGCAGGCCAAGCTCATTGAGGGAGGGTCTTGTGGGAGGGAAGACAATGCTGATAAGAACCAGAAAACCAAGACTAGAAATCTGCAGAGTTCCAAAAGTATGGAAAGAGACTAAGTTAGAAGAGGTATTCTGGGAAAGCCTTGAGTTGAAAGAGATAGCGAAACCTGCTGATGAAGCCTTAAGTAGAGAGTGATCAAAGGTTCTCTTCTATAATCTCAAAATAGGAGAACTAAAGTAAAGATGGGTAGTTGAGGTAGATGCGGAGATGAGAACTGGCATTTTATTATTGGACTACATCACTGGCAGTTAGTGGAATCTATATGTCAAGGACTACCTGGACCCGTCCCCTTTATGCCTCAAATACCAGGAGTACAGCCACATTAAAGGACAGTGTATGAACGTCCTAGCATGCAGTGGAAAGGACGGAAATGGTGTGGAAAGGAAGGCCATATAGTCAAGGAGTGCCCAGATACGGAGCTGCCTCCGAAATGCAAAATCTGAGCTCTGGCAAAAGTCAAAGTTGATGAGAGTAGGCAATGTGCGGATAGCAGGAGCAGGTACTGCCAAGTATGACAAGTATGCCATTGAGGAAATGGCAAAACTGGCAAAAAGAACTTACTATCCTTCCAATCTTCTACCATATCTACAATTACTAACTACAAAACGCTACCTTCCCTACATCCTGGAAAACCCACACTAGTTCGTCCTATGAAGAAGACTTCCAACCCATCAACTCTTAATGATTTCCGTCCAATTTCTCTCCTCTCAAAACTTTCCAAACCTTTAGAGCGACTAATTCAAACCCAGTTATCCAACTTTTTAGAACAGAATATCCTCCTAAATCCCAACTAGTCCGGTTTCCGGCTTGGCTACTCCACTCAGTCTGGAAAATTGGATATATATTGTAATGTCAACATTACATGGTATATAAATAGTGGCGTAAAAGTGGCAACAGCATGAACTACAGGGAGGAAGTGGGGGAAGCAAGCCTCATGTAACTCAGACTGCGACGGGCCGCCAGGAGAGAATGTGACGGGCCGCCAGGAGAGAAGGTGATAGCGGCCAAGAGAGGAGGTTATGAGCCGCCAAGAGAAAATGTGACAAGCTGTCAAGAGAGAAGGTACTAGCCAGCAAGCTGAGAAAATAGAAAGAGCCACAAAGTTTAGACTGAGACAATAAAGGTTTTTGAAAACAAAATAAATTTTATATGTATAATTAGTGTATTTAGTAATTGGTAAATTATAGTTATTTAATGTTGAATGAGTGTTCAGTTGTCCGAACCCAACCTGAGATTTATGTTATATGTGTTAAAATAAATAATATATTGAAAAAGGAAACTCGTTGTTTGATTTATGTTGACAAAGGGAACGTTACAACATGGCGCCCAACTAGCGTGGCTTTTGAAAACGTACGTAGTCACGACAACTGAACACGCAATCTTTGTTAATTTTAATTTTTTTTTTTTTTTGTTAATAATTTTTGAGTAATATGGAGAATAAGCAGAGAGAGATAATAGAAGTTAGAGATCTTAATAATGTAATTCTTGGAAAATCTAATGTTGTTATTGTAGAAAATGAGGCAGAATCAGTTGTACAAAGCCTACTTGATGAAAATAGACAGTGTGAAAGTCGGTCGGGATTAAATGAAATGAATGAGTTTAGTGAAAATAATATGGAGCATGAAAAAATAAACATAGGTGGTGCCAACAATTTGAGTTGTGTTGATGTGTATGGTATGTTTCAACAAGTAATGACTATTCTTCGTAGTATTGAAAACAAGCAGGAGGCTTGGAAGCGGGATTTGGAAAGTCAAATTCAAGAAAATAAATTAGAAACCCAAATTATTGCAAATATAACTGAAGTCCAAGAAACTACACTGGCTGAAAAAACTTCTAATAATGAACAGGAACCTAATGAAGTTATTGAAGTGAATGAACCTATATCAGCCGTACCCTCCTTAGGCGAGAATAGAAAAATTGAAGATGAAGGAACTACCTCCGAGGAACAAGAAAGCGAAACCTCTACATTAGATAATGAAAGTCTTGAATCTGAAAATCTCAGAGAAGATATAAAAGAAATCAGTGAAAAAGAGGAAGGAATTATAGAAGCCCAGGAGGAAACCTTGAAAGGTTTTGTATTAGGTTCCCTAAAGATCAGAGAATTCTTTTTCCAGGTCGATAAGGAGACCCACGAGATCCTAGGAATTAAAGAAGAATATATAGGCCCCCCAGCTTCAGTCAAACCCTCCAGAACAGAAAAGACTTCTCTGAAAGTAGAAGATGAAACAGCCAAGATAGAAGTGTGGAACAAAAGACTATCGACCCATATTATAAGACTATCAGTAGCGAGAATTAATAAGTTAATTTATTATAGGTATGCAGAAAACGAGACAATCCCCATGTATATTTTAGAAGATGAGGTATATAAGAGCTAGATGGCTTTGAACCATGTTAGGGCAGGCCGGTTAAGATCTTATTTTAAGACACGGTAGTCTTTATCCTATCCAGAGGATAAAAAAGGGTTTTAAATTAGCATCCCTTCCATTGACGAGCTAGAGGGTCCTGGCGAAACCATCGTTAGGTTACCCATTCCGGATACTTGTAAATAATTAGCTGTAAATATGATTTTGTAAATAGTCTAATTACATTGTTGGTAGATAGGATAATAGATTAATATCTAAAAGTTAAATAAGTTGTTTTGGCCGGATATTGCTAGGTAAAATCCAAATGTTAGAAGAAAGTTAGAAATTGTCTTAATTAATTAGTGTCTTCTCTCTGATTATTCCTATAATACAAGTTAAAATATATTTTGGAATGTTATATAAGTAATTTAAACAGTTAATTTGTAAGTTAATTATACATAAGATATGGGAAGTGTACGGTAAAATTCTTTTGGTAAATAATGTATTTAGCTTATTTTATTATTTGTATATCAATCTACTTTTCCTGTACATAAATTAGATGAACAAGTTATGTAATTACTGTATGTAGATTAAAGTAATATAGTGTAAATAATTCAATAATTTTGTATATAAAATTGTAAATGTTTGATAACCAGGTTGGGAAATCTATTGTAAAAAGTGTGAATGTCAAAAGTTAAATTTATTATTTTATATGAAAAAAAAAAATGTAAATATTGCACCGAATTTTAAATTTCCATTTTTATTTTTTTTTTAAACTGGTACAGAGGAGAAATGTAACATTACATGGTGGCATTACATAGTGGCACGAAAGTGGCAACAGCATGAACTACGGGGAGGAAGTGGGGGAAGCAAGCCTCATGTAACAGTCTGCGACGGGCCGCCAGGAGAGAATGTGACGGGCCGCCAGGAGAGAAGGTGATAGCGGCCAAGAGAGGAGGTTATGAGCCGCCAAGAGAAAATGTGACAAGCTGTCAAGAGAGAAGGTACTAGCCAGCAAGCTGAGAAAATAGAAAGAGCCACAAAGTTTAGACTGGGGCAATAAAGGTTTTTGAAAACAAAATAAATTTTATATGTATAATTAGTGTATTTAGTAATTGGTAAATTATAGTTATTTAATGTTGAATGAGTGTTCAGTTGTCCGAACCCAACCTGAGATTTATGTTATATGTGTTAAAATAAATAATATATTGAAAAAGGAAACTCGTTGTTTGATTTATGTTGACAAAGAGAACGTTACAACATATATATATATATATATATATATTATATATATATATATATATATATATATATATATATAAATATCTCCTTTTCTACTAGTGCCCTTAATTGGTTCCAATCCTTCCTTACTGGCCGCTCCCAGTATGTTGTAGTCCCCAATAACTCCTCATCAGAATTTGTACACTTGTCTAGAAGTGTCCCACAAATCTCCTCCTTATCTCCTACCCCTTTTTTCCATCTATATCAATGACCTCCCATCATCTATCCTACACTGTCAATACCATCTGTATGCCGACAATGTCCAGATTTACCTTTCCTTCAATCCGACCGAATCCTCTGATACCATCCAAAAATTACAGGAAGATATAATCGGATACCGGTTACCGGATACCGAAGCTAGAAATCAGTGGAGCACCCGATGACTGGAAATCATCTGACTTGGAGGACTTTGTATGGGGAAAACTTCAGAGCAGTGGAATAAGTAGATCTTGAGAAGAGTGTAACAGGAAGGAATGGGTCAGACCATGTTTTTCTAATATTGAGAGAGGGAACCTAAAGAAAACCTGGGTAGTAGAGGTTTATTCGTCTATGAGAAAAGCAGTCTTGCAAATGGAAAAGTTCTGCAGCTTCTGGATTTGGGCATTAGGGACTGCTTGGATGCTCCCCTATGTCTGAAATGTCAAGAATATAGTCATACCAAAGCTATATGTAAGAAAGATCTAACATGCATATGGTATGGCGAAGTGATGGGCAAAACTGTACTCTGAGTAAAAAGTACAAATTACAGAGTAGTTTACTCAAATACTCGCCATGTTCGAGTACCGAGTACTTTAATCACTACTCGACCTCATGATTGACGAGTACAAGTTCTAAAAGTAATCAGCTGTCCTCGTGAGTACTTTCTATTTTCAAATGTACTCAGGAATATTTTACTCTGAGCACTTTTCAAAGTAATCGAGTACTTCATTATAAAAATTACAGGAGTAGAATATTTAATATTTCTTCCATATTTAAGTCCATTATTATATTATGGGGGTATAGTTTTTTAAAATAGTATCAATATTAATGTAAATCGATAAAATAAAGAATTATTAAAATATTTTGGCTTTAATCAACTTTGAGGACCATTTTTTTTTTTTTTTTTTCTTCACCACTTGACTTTTATGATAATAATGTCAGATTTGAGATAGTGCCCCAGAGACCCGACTTTTTGTAACTTTTTGGATTATATCGACATCAGGGTAAACTATTAGGTTCTGGGGGGCGCATTTTATGAAAATGATGTTAGATTTGAGATAGTGCCCCCGGGGCCCGACTTTTTGTAACATTTCGGATTATATTGACATCAGGGTCGACTAATAGGTTTTGAGGGACGCTTTATATGAAAATGATATCGAATTTGAGATTGGGCCCCCCGGGCCTCGATTTTTTGTAACCTTTCAGATTTAATCGATATCAATGTTGATTATTAGGTTTTGGGGGACACTTTTTATGAAAATGATGTCGGATTTGAGATAGTGCCCCTGGGGCCTGACTTTTTAAAACCTTTCAGATTTAATCGATATCAATGTTGATTATTAGGTTTTGGGGGACACTTTTTATTAAAATGATGTCGGATTTGAAATAGTGCCCCCGGGGCCCGACTTTTAGTAACCTTTCGGATTTAATCGATATCAATGTTGATTATTAGGTTTTGGGGGACACTTGAAAATGATGTCGGATTTTTTTTTTATAAAATGCATCCACTAAAACATCATTGTCGATCCTGATATCTATTAAATCAGAAAAGTTACTAAAAGTCGGGGCCCAGGGGCACTATCTCAAATCCATCATAATTTTCATAAAAAGTGCCTCCTAAAACCCAATAGTCGAGCCTCATATCGATAAAATCTGAAATGTTACAAAAAGTCAGGCCCCAGATTCTATCTCAAATCCGACATCATTTTTATAAAAAGCGCCTCCCAAAACCTAATAGTCGACCCTGATATCGATTAAATCTGAAATGTTACAAAAAGTTGAGACCCTGGAAGCCTAATCTCAAGTTCGATATCATTTTCATAAAAAGCTCCCCCCAAAACATAATAGTCGACCCTGATATCGATAAAATCTGAAAAGTTAAAAAAAGTCCAGGTCCAGGGGCACTATCTCAAATCCATCATCATTTTCATAAAAAGTGTCCCCTAAAACCCAATAGTCGAGCCTCATATCGATAAAATCTGAAATGTTACAAAAAGTCGGGCCCCGGGTTACTGTCTCAAATCTGACATCATTTTCATAAAAAGTGCCCCCCAAAACCTAATAGTCGACCCTGATATCGATTTAATCCAAAAAGTTAAAAAAAGTCGTGGCACAGGGGGCCCAATCTCAAATTCGATATCATTTTCATAAAAAGCGCCCCTTAAAACATGATGGTTAATCTAATATCGATTAATGGGGGCTTAGGGTTGGTCAGGTCGAATATGGCCGCTATTATTGAAGGAAATAAAAGAAAACATTTATACTCTTTAAAAAATGACAGAGTAGTTGAAAAATAAAAAGTACTCTTTGTAGGAATTTGGCTGAGTTCTTTCTGTAATTCGATATAACACTGTGAGTACTTTCTGTACTTAACTAAATCATGATTAATGCAGCGTGAGTACTCTCAGTACTCGCCGATGTCAGGCCGAGTACAGAAACTACTCGATACTTTTTTCTAATAAAATTACTCAAATCATGAAAGTAATCGAGTACTGCCCATCTCTAGTATGGCAGTTGCGGCCATAAGGCAAACGAGTGTCAGGCTAGTAAAAGTGTTAAGTACAAGAATTGGATGATGTCAGGGAAAACACTAGATGAAATAAGGCATTGTGCTGGGAGCAGAGAGTGCCCCATGCACTTTTCAAAGATGTTGGAAATAGTTGGAAAGACCTGCTAAACTTGGTGGCGGGTCTGGCTCTACGTTCCTGTTGAGGGAAGACTCCTGGTGGTTTCTGAGAGCCACTGGATTGAATAGAGAATATTAAGGCATAATCCCACCATGGAAGGTGCACAGCTGTACACTGGACTGTGCCTCAGGAGAACTCTAATTTTACTGTTCCTAGAAATAAATACATACCCTAAAGCAGGTATAAAATAAAGAGCAATAACAAATAAAAAGAGTACGATAGGTGGCAGTGGCATAGGCAAAACCCATGCACACTTCTCCACTGCTGCTGAGAACACCGTACGCCAAATGGCCAGGTAGGGAAGAAAACAAAAGTAACTGTTTGACAAGAGAGCTGTCTTTTATGTAGGGGAGAAAAACATTCCCCTCCTTGAATAAAATGGCATACCCGAGAATCTGTAAAGTTCTTCCAGAAGTTATTCAGCTATTCAAAGTTTCTTTTTAAAAATTCTATCTAACTCCAAAGCGATAAGACCATACTTAATTCATTATTTCCAATGAGACCTCAGCACTCTTAGTATTTAATTCAATCTCTATTCAATTAACTTTCCAAGTTTCTCAGTACTTTTTGTCAAAATAAATGATAAATATTAAAGATATTGTCAATTTACATTATTGAGGCTAAATGCAACAAATTAAAAGCCTGTCTGATCATAAAAACCCTTTTAATTATGAAGTACAATTAGATAAATACTAAAATAAAAAAAAGAGTAGCAAAAAAACAAATAAATGAAAATCTATTTACCTTAATGTAGTTTTGACAAGTTGATAATGGTAAGCCAACTAGACTTACACCATTAATAGCAATTATTTGGTCACCAATGTTAAGTTGACCACACCTGGCGGCTGCACCTGCTGGAGCAAGATTAGCAATCACAACAGTAGGAAGCATAGAACCCCAACCAGATTCCACAATAACAACTCCTAAAATTTCACCCTTTGCTTTTGGAACTACAACCTGAAAAAAGTCAAAATAAAAAAATCTTATAAATACTTAAAATTTGTAGTTCTACGATGAAATACAGTTTCAGTACAACATATTTTAATACCTAAAAAATATTTTAAGACTTAAAATATATTTTAATACCTAAAATATATTTTAATACTTAAAATATATTTTAATACCTAAAATATATTTTAATAATAATGAACAATAAGTTTTACAGAAAATAAAAGTTATAATTAACAATTAGAATATTTTTGTAACACAGTATTTTATTTTTTAAATAATAACTTTAAACTGAGTTGACATTGATAAATGGATAGTAATTAGCTCAGAAGAAAAAAAAAGGTTTTAAGTTAATGTAGTAGACATTCTAGGATACTCCCAAGAATTTAGGTTCCCTAAATTTGAAGACATTTTCAAAAATTTGTGTGTTTATAATACCCTTTTCACTTTAATGGTTAGTTACCCTTTACGGTGGAATTATACGCTTACCCGAAAAATAAAAAATAAATCTATTGGAATCATTTACCAATGTACCAGAATAATAAACCATAAATAGATATGATATCTTACTTAAGGGCTTCAGATTGTAGGGTGAGAACAGACGCTATCAAAAGTAATTAATATAATATAAGAAATGTGTTACTTAGAAAAGAGCATGAAGTAAGACAAGACAAAGCAAGAGAAATGGAGGTTAAATGAAATTTACAAATAAGATGAACGTAAATATGGAATAAATAAAACTTTTATAAAATGACTTATTGAGGACTCTCCATATTACCAGAATGCCACCTTTATTTATCATGCTTATGAAATTCTAAAAATCAATTAATTTAATTTCAGACACAAATAATAAATTGATGAAATGTACTTCACAACGGGATGCCATTTTAAATGATATGTTCCTGCACATCTCGTTTCTACGGCATGTAGGGATTTCTGGAACCACATTTATCTCTATTTGCTGTATTTAATTATTTATATTTGTATTTCTATCTGCTCCAGAAGGGAACCAAGCTACTTAAAGATGTATGAATTGTGTATTTAAAGTTGTGGGTTGATGGTTGACTTTAGTGAATAATTGAAGAGAAGGATAGTTGGGGTGATCAGTCAAAATAAAATAGTAAAAATAAATAATTGTATTTATTTTCACAAATAGAGATAAATGCGGTTCCTGAAACCCTTAAAGGCGGTAGAAACGTAAGAAAGGACGTTTCATCAATTTAATATTTGTGTCTGACAATAAATTAATGGACTTTTAGAATTTCATAAGCATGATAAATAAAGGTGGAAAATATGAAAATAAATGATGGCAAATGTGAAAATAAATACAATTATTTCTTTTTAACTATTTTATTTTGACTGATCACCCCAACCATCTTTCTCTTCAACTGTGTATTTAAATATTAAATACCACAGACCCTCTACTGTAGTATCCTAGATTGAATAATATAATTTTCATTAGATATCTCTTCAAAAGGTGTCATGTTTAAAAATTTACTATTTGTATCTATATCTAAATGGTGGCATTTAAGGGAGATTGTTAAAATATCAAGATTGAATAACAATTAATCTATTTTTAAATTTAAACAAATCAAAAACATATATGCACAATCATTAGATAATCATATTAGGAGAATGCTAGATAGAATGTTTGAGATTAAAGATTGAAGTTACTAATAAGTTATTGATTCTATTACTGTTATTGACTGCCAACAAAAGTTTACATAGGTATGTCTAAATGAGAAAAATACTTTATAGAAAGTAGTGCTGCTCTACTATATAGGGTTACTTTTTATACAGAACACTGATCAATCCATGGACATAGCTCTTACATCATCCGTTTTATCCTTTTTCACAACACTAGTCCATATACTATATCATTAACAATATCACATTAAACAATTACCATTATGCAATACATATATTTTATGAAAAAAAAGTATTTGTATGCTAGAAATACAAGACCAAATCGCACACATGTATCAATGCAATTCCTTGAATATAAGCATAAAAATAAGACAAAGTTAAAAAATTAAAATTAAATAAATAACTAGATAAATGACAAAGGAAATTCTAGATTCACAGTTAAATGCTATACAATTGATAATGGATCATCTCTGACGGTGAACTCTCTCTCTCCGAAGGTCTTATGAAACTTCTCTTTTAGGAAAGGGATACATTTATCGTATATGTTTTTCTTTTTCCTTTCTACTTCACCCGCCTGATCGAGGTCATCGCTCTCAAAGCAGACAGTTGAATCCAAGATAGATCAGAGCTGTCTTTCCTGTCCTGGGAAATGCAACAATTTCCACATACCTGGCTGAGCCTTCACTGTCAATGCAATAGACTTCATCGAAGCAGGTGAATTCCCTTTCTCTAAGGAGCATCACCAATTCATACTCGAATTTCAATCTCGACTCGACATCGTGTTATGAGGAGGATGTTGTTAGGGCATTTTTCCAGCACATGGGCTGCACACTTATGGCAGAGGGACCCAATTTCCTTCGACTAGGGTTCGGGGTTTCTTTAAAATGCTGAACGCCTTGCTACTTGCAGCTGGCCTATTCTACAGAGGAATTTTCTCTTAGCAACTGTCGTAAAGCTCTCATATTTAGGTAGCCCTGATCCACTCCCAGTCTTTCTGCACATTCTGTTATTTCCGCATTATAATCAAATGTGGACTGGAACAGGGTATCCAGTACACTGGACAGTTGCTGGGCAATGGACCAATGCTGCAACAGAGCCTCCCATTGACAGTGCATACAACATGCTATTGATGTGTTAGCGAGAAGCCCAATAATGGCCTTAATACTCCTGCGAATACTTGTATCAATTCCTTCCAATATCGCAGGGCGTATCTTTGGTGAGGGGTGCCATCTGGAGAGGGTAGGTAAGACCCAGGAACACATACTGGTTGACAACGTTGATCTTTTGCTCCGGTTTAAGAAGGCAAGAGCTAACCAATTTCTCCAAATTATTGTTCAATTTGGTCACCACTTCCTCATTCATTACCAGTTCTCCCGAGAACGTACATCCTAAATACTTTAAAGTCTCACCAGCCTTTGCTGAATTGATGGTTTCTTCATTCTCTAGGGAGAGCTTTGTTTGTTGCAGCTCTCCTTTATCGATTATTAAGCCAATGCTTTTTTGTGGATTTACAGCCAGACCAATCTCAGCGAGGATCCTCTGCACACAATTGATAATCCTTTCATGCACCGTAACAGCCTGATCATCTGCGAAGCATGTGAGCACCACACATTCTTGGTCGTTGGGCAGCAATTTTCATAATCCTCACGTTTGCAGAGATTTTTTACTGTCAAAGAGGCTTCTGAAGTGGCCTTTTATCTCCTCTACCTTCAGAGGGCATTGCTTAGGAGTGTCAGTGTTAATAATATTTTGAACAACTTTTTTTCTTTAATTATAATAATTATATTGAGCTACCTCGTATTGGTATTGCTCCTGATGACGACTCCTATCTGCCTTGTTGGCCCTTTGTGGATTTGACACTTTCCCCACACCCTTGCCAGCCATGTCGATTTTATTTTTTTTCCTCAACTTATAAAGTTTAATGGCAGGGTACTGTGGGCCTGGCAATTCATTGTTGATGTTTATTAAAAATTTTAAAAAACTGCCCACTACTTCGTCGAATTCTCCATGATCAATATTATTTTGCTGAAGAAAGTCCTGAAAGGTAGCCAACCATCTGGTTATTTCCCTGTTTACTTCATCTCCCCTATCCTCTCCATTTTTCTCATTTAATCCAATATTAATTAAGCCCCTTAGTCTATCGTTATTTGCTTCCCTGGGATGCTTCTTAGCTATATGGGTTCTAAGGCCCCTTGAAACCCAGTCCACAGATGGGTATACTTTGTTGTTATTCGTTGGGGAAGGGTCCTGTTCTCTCTCTTCTATTTCACCATCTGACTCTCCGGATGTCTGTGCTGGTTTAGGTAAACTGGGAAACACATCATCTATTGATACAGTTTTGCTCAACACTTTGACCTTCTTCTTCCTCCCTCTCTACCTTGAAAAACTCTTCACCACCGCCTCCCGTGGCAGCCACAGAACTCAGAGAGGCCACCACTGCTTCTTAGACTGGGCCTCCTGATCTCAGAACCCATACCTTTTGAAGTATGTCAATACTTTTGAAATTACTTGGATTTGAGGCCATGTCTTTTTATCCTTACAATAATATTTTAATACACAATAGGATAAATAAAATTATCAATAATAAATAAATAAAAATGCAGAAATTTAAAGCATTTACTTGGCTTCGTTAAATAAGTTTTAAAAGAACAAGTTAATAAATAGGTTAAAATCTATATATGAATTGTTTCATAAGACCCCGATCCAGGAACTGTCCTGTTTTCTGTTATGATACAAAGTTGAATAGGTTTTATTATTCTTTACAGTGATAATACCTCCTAAGTATTTCTCTTTACCAGGTCTTAAAAAAAAATCTTCCTACATCCTAGAACTCACTCTAAGTGCCACTATTCACTCTTTCAACACAAGATCTCAACTATTTGATTTATATATTTCCTCTAACAAAACTACATTCTTCAGCAAATCATTCATCATTTGTACTAACTCCTTTATACTATACCCATCTCTATTCACCAATCCTTCTCCTTGTACTTTTTTAAACAAAATTTATTCCTTCACCTATTTTATAGTTAATCTCTACAATAATCATTAGATATTTGTCAAGTGAACATTAATGAAATTACTTACTTAATACATAAAACCAGAGCATAGTAATTACTCTTAGTGGAATAAGTAGGAAAGTTTATCCTGGAACAATATTAGCTTCCCCTAAAGTACCTTTAATTTTTTTTTTTTAAACAATTAACCATTTCACATTGATCTCTGATATAAAAAATAGTAAAAAAATATAAAATATGAAAGAATTTTATAATTAACTAAAGGAGAAATAAGAGATTGTAATGGAGAATAGTTGTAATGAAGAGACCAAAGCACCTGAGCTCACCTGAAAGATTAGAACAGGCTTCCATACGTCACATGAGCTTAATATAATACTGCCTCCAACAATATTATGTACATATACATATGCGGTTTCCATAAATGCTATAGTTGGTATTATTTAATATTTAATTGTATAGATTACAGCGATATAAATATTAAAATTTGTGTATATAAGGATACTTACAAATAAAAATAACCACAATGAAATATAAATAAATATAGCGACTATAATTTTTACCTACACTTCCCTTTTGTCTTAAAATACTTATTTCTAATAAGAAGAGGGTGGTAAGTGAAAGTTGTGTGATGCGTGCACCGCGTCAGATTTTTAATATGCTGAAGTAAGTAAATAAGTGTGTTTCCATCATTGTAAATGTTGTTTCCTCCAACCTGGAGGGTCGGTGGTTGATTGAGGTACTAAGACTCTTTGAATGGTTGCCACAATACACCAACATTTTATAATAATAAATATAAAAATTACCTCTTTTTGCATTTCTTTCTTGGCAAACATTTGCAACTCATCACCAAATATTTCTTGTGAATTTAAAACTTCTTGATAATCCATTTCCTTTACAAAACTATGATCTTCAATACCATTGGCTTTTAGGAATTCCATATAGGCTACCTGAAATGCTTGACCAATCGACTGAGCAATGAATTGAGCCTGAAATAAAAATCATGGTTTATTTATTAAAAATATCAAAAAAATTCTTTCTATAGTATCTGAAGTGCCAAAGGAATCATAGAACTATTCTCATAGAATTGACCAGAGAAAATTAACATAGATTTAAGAGCAAAACAGAATATAAACCAATACAAAAATCCTTATTAGACAACTTTACATCATTAATATCAGTTAATGTTGATTTTATATCTTTTTGCATTTAAAAACATAAGCAATATAGATATAACATATAGGTATAGAAGGGAATATGTAAGATATGTGAAATATTTTTGCCAGATTATTGTGTCTCATCAAGTAGATTGTCCCAACCATGACTTCACACCCATTTTTCACATGCTGAATAGATTCATGAGATTTCAAACAGAAAAAGCATTTATCTGTGACAATTCTCTTTTAGGATACAAGGTATGTTCAAAAAGTAACAGGAATAGAATTTTTTTTAAAACAATTATATTAGATAAATGCATAGATATTTTTATTGTTTTTAAGCTCTTCAACTTACAGAAATGGGTAGGTTTTGCCATATACATCATATATTGTTATATAAATTATATAGAATTTGTCTTTATGAGATCTGTTTTTACTAATCAGGGCTTGGGTACAATAGCATTTACACAAAACAACATGGGCAGCAAATGTACAGGAATATTTTTTTATTTTTTTAATCTGATAAATCGTTAGAAAATGTTACTATAGGACTCTAGTTGTGTCTCTTTACAAGCAAGGAAATAACAGGAAACATAACGGCCATCGAGATATACCCCAGTTGAAAATCTTTGACTCAAGAATAGTAGAAGCTAGAATAAGAATTACCGATTGCCTGAGCGATATGGATTCATTAACTCAAGTTGCACATAGAAATAATCGTCAATGTGAGGTGGGTTATAGAGTTGGTCTCCTAAGAATAATAACAGAGTTACATATTTATGAGTCTTAGTCTGGCTTAGAAGAATAGAAAATGATGCCTAATTACCTGTTGATTGCTATTGCAATTGTGCAGTTGATTTAATTAAACAGTTGCAGACACAAGTAAACTTTACATGTTTCCGGAAGTTTGAATTTGGAATAGGTGGTGGAACAGGAATAGTTTGAAGGAATTTGTGGATGAGGATTCACGTATGGAGGTACTGGTACTGGTAATGTTGAGCCTATTGGTCCTTTTTCCCAACCCCCAAAATAATCATACCAATGGTAGTCTATTATACCTCCAACTCTGTCTCAAACCTTTTTGTTCTTCTGATGAAGTTCAAAAGGCCGGACCATTTTATGGAGGTAGCTTTGTGTTCTTGTATTTGTCTATCTGAGCCCAGAAGTCTGTATCTAAGCGACACAAATTGGTCACATTCTATAATGTAGTGAAGAGCAGTTTCTGGTGCATTTTTGCACAGATTGCAGAGTTCATCATCTACTATCCCACAAATCTACGTATGGAGGTAGCAAGAATGATGAAGGATTTGCTGAAGTTTTATGGGAGGGGATATATAAATGTGTAGGTTGAGATCTGGTACTGAGAGATTAGATAGAGGAACGTAGAGTAAGGAGTTCCAGGATATAGGAAGGACTTTTGGTTCTGAGGACTTGGAAAAGGAGGAATTAAGATCATCAGGAAGTAGGATAATGCCACTTCAGCTCAGGATACCAGAATGAAAGATGAGAACACCTGGAGATGTATCTTAATCGTAAAAATATATCTTATGAAACGAAGAGAAGAATAGTTGGGATGGTCAGTCAAAAAAGAAGGCAAAAATAAGTGATAATATTTATTTTAACAAATGCCGACGTTTCGACCTGAAGTTCAGGCCTTCATCAGAGCTAAGAAAATAACCAGATAACCAGGTATGAGAAACATAAGTAGTGATGGCGGTCCTTTATTTTCATTTCTTATGTAACTTCATATTTCTTTTTTATGTTTTACATTTTATTCTAAGATTCCCACTTTAACACTTATGTCACCCTTTTTGATTATGCTTACTTCATCATTCCACACTTTGTAACGGTTATTATTATTTATCTCTTAGTTCTTACTATTGTCATTATTCTAACAATTTCATTTTACTTTATTTTATTTATTTTTTTATTATTATTTTTTTTTTTTACCATCACTACTTATGTTTCTCATACCTTGTTATCTAGATATTTTCTAGGCCCTGATGAAGGCCTGAACTTCAGGTCGAAACGTCGGCATTTGTAAAAATAAATATTATCATTTATTTTTGCCTTCTTTTTTGACTGATCACCCCAACTATTCTTCTCTTCATTATCCACGACAGTCAACCATTTACCAATTATGAATCTATCTTATGAAACAGTTCATAAGTTTCTTCAGTCTCATTTCTAGCCTGGCAGATAACCCTCCATACAGCAAGCAGACGTAGTCGAAGTGGGGGAATATAAGGGAGATTTTCATTTTGTCTATGGCGGATTGGAGGTCTTGGTTAATCTTTAGGAAGGCAGACTGGGTGGAATAATAGAAACAGAAACCAGATTGTAAAGGATTGAGGAGAAGGTTTTATTCGAGAAAGTTATTCAACTGAGAGTAGATTAATCTTTCTAGAGGTTTGGATAAAATGGAGATGGGTCTGATTTTGAAAACTGATGAAGAAGTAAGAAATTTTTTCAATCGGCAGACTATAGCTCTTTTCCAGGATTTAGGAAAAATTGAATTTATCTATATAGAATCTCATTTATTACTCAATACAAAAAGTAAAAACATATATGTTGGTGACCCACCGAAGGGTTCCCAAAAATTTGGGCCAAAAGTACAACGGTACTTCATAAATAACTTTGTTTGGGGCCTTCAGAAAGGGTCTCCCAGTCATTCTCTGGAGATGAAAAAGTACAAAATATTTATGTTGCAGACCCATCAGAGGGGTTCCAAAAGTTTTGCGAAAATAACCGAGTAGAAAATAACTAATTATTTTGAGAGCCAAAAGTACAACAGTACAAGAAAAATACAAAACAATGCTCTTCAGGGCCTTCAGAGGAGGTCCCAATCATTCTACAGTGATAAAAAAGTACAAAACATTTATGTTGGGGCCCATCGGAGGGACCCTAAAAATTTGCTGTAATAAATGAAACCAAAACAATTATTTTGGAGGCCAAACGTACAGCAGTACTAGATAAATACAAAACAATGATCTTGGGGGCCCTCAGAGGGGGAGCCTAAATCATTCTACAGTGATAAAAAAGAACAAAACATTTATGTTAGGGGCCCCAAAGATTTGAAGAAATAAACGAATACAAAATGATTTTTTTTAGAGCACTAGAAAAAATAAAACAATAATTGCTTTCTGAACCCCATTCTAGCTCGGGGACCCTCGACGATCGCTGACTAGCCGACCTGGCCTAATGCTTGCTAAGCAATTGTTCAATCGAAAAATAACTACCATTTCTAGCCTGTAGCCTAGCCTTAATTTACTCTTTAATATAGTTTTCCCTAGTTATCGTCGAGCCTAATACCTTGATTTCTCTGAGTCTTCAACCGCATTCCCTTCAATATCTATTTCATCAAAATCACCAACATTTCTGCAGCATGCCATATATTTTGTTTTATTTAATTTATTTATTTATTTGTTAAATGTTTCATCTCTTGAAAATGGTCTAAGGGCTGAAATGTCAGTGTAAAAAATAAAATAAAGTAGGACTATTGTGATCATTATGGGTGTTTTTATTATTATAATAACGTGAAGTAATAACCTACAAGTATAAATATATATAAAATAAAAACAAATTAAATTTGTTGATAGAAATGTTTTTTTCTTACATATTCTACAATGAGCTTCTATCAATGATTTCCTATCACCTGATTGCTTTTTCATAAGGCGTACAGAACTTTCTCAGGAAATTATTTTTTATCTAATTTCTAATTGGGGTATTTTGATACCTAGATTTTAATTTTTGATAAGAGAAGAGATTGGATTTTACTTTCAACATTATTAATTTTTTGTTTATATTAATGAAATTACTACAAATCAATTCAAAACCAGAAGGGGTAGTGAAGGGCTGAACAGATGAATAAGAACTCAAGTCAAAACAATAATAATAAATGTCTTACTAACAAAACACCTTATTCTAGGAAAGAAACTTTTTATTATCCAATGTATTAGGCAAGTTCTGTTCATAGAATATTAACACACATATATATATTTGTATTTATAAATTATCTAATTTATCACAAAAGTGCAAAAATGTGCAATTTAATATAACAAAAATCAAAAACAGCAAAACATGCAATATAAAATTTAAATATGTTATTCTACAGATCCTTAAAAACAGATAGATATTACAGTCCACAGTTTTTACATGCAAGCGAATAAAATGTCCAATAACACGGAAATCCAGTATTTAAAATACCCTGCCATTGGGCATATAAGGGTTTTATAAATGGTCACCTTTGTGGACTGCAAAAGGTCTTTGAAGCTTAAAAGCTTGAGAACTCCAAAATAATAATGATTTCCTATTACTATTCTTGACTCAATTCCTTTTCAGAGCTCATTTTTGCCTGTGAAGAGTGTTCCAAAGTATTTGGAGGCTTTACAAACTGGGATACTTTGACTATTGATAGTAACAGGAAGTGGTCTCATTGGAGGATTCTAAGTACTCCCTAAATATTCTGTCTTCCTCTCATTGATTTGGAGACTTCTTTTGTTTGCCTCACGTTCCAATTCTTACAATGCCTCGCCAAGCGAAGACAGTGCCCTTGCTACAAGGTGGACATTGTCTATGTAGGCCAATATTTGTAAGTATATATTGTAGATAATTCCACCAGAATTTGTGATTATTCCTAGCATTGCACCCTCCAAAGAAAAATTAAAAAAAAGTTGTTGCCTCGGGATCTCCTTGCTTAAGTGAATTATGAACTGGAAACTCATCTTCAAGTACTCCTAGCGATTTGATCCGACATTTGGAATCACCCATTGTCATGCGAAAAATATATATTATCTTCTATGAGACCCCAAACCTTTATAAATCATCTAGGAGATACACCCTACAAACACGATTATAGGCTTTTCAATAATCTAGGTAGAGATGGTGTAGCATGACATCGAATTCACATATATTTTCCAACAGCTGTCTCAAACCAAAAATAAAATCAATTGTTAATCTTATCTAAAACTGCTTTGGCAGTCGATGACAATCTATTCTCCTGAAAATCAAGAATGACTGAACTTTACAGGCTCCTCTTAGATGGACTATACCTCTATAATTTTTATATACCAGTTAGTCATCTTTCTTGTAGATGGGATATATATAAAAGAGCAGTAGACCATTCCATCAGCATCCTCTCCCTCATCCACACAATGAAATAATTTTATAAAGCTAATTGAGTTTTATACACATTATTATTATTGAATAATTAAGAGTAAATTACAAAATTATACAAATTAATAAGGAATAATGAGTAACACCACATACCTCTTCACTTTCAAAAACATGGCAAATCATTTTAGGTGTTCTGTTTATTTTTGGTTGTTCATCAACTTCATGAGGAATATATCGCCTTCGTGCCATTAAAACAACAAGATCCCCTATATCAGCAATATAAGATATGGTTCTTAAAGCATGATCCATCATAATTTCCTAGAAAAGGTTTTAATTAAGCTTTATTAGAAAATATTTTAAATTTTGTAACTTGAGTTGTATTAAACCTAAAGCTTATATGTTATGCAGATTTCATTCTACTAAACTCTAATGCTGAATATTGCACATTCTTGCATTTAATTTTTTTAAACATATCTATTGAAATTTACTACTGCATTACATGAAAAATACAACAAATAAATTTGAAATTAGTATCATGACATGTACAACATGAAGAGGAACTATCCATCGATAGCACTCCAATTATAGATCTATATTAGAAGGTTCCGAGGCCATCTTCTTTTCAAACACCTTGGAGGGTTATCAGGAATAGAAGAGGAAGCAAGGTTAGAAACAAGAGGGTTCGGATGGTTCAGAAATTTACTATGGAAGGATAGGTATCTGGATTGAGCTAAATCAGAAACATATGGTATATTAAGTTCATTATGGAATATTTTATTTGTTACAAAGTAAGGAGTATTGACGATTTGACGAAAGATTTTAAATTGTAAGGATTGGATACAAGAGGAATTTGATGGTTTAGTAGAGCCCCAAAGCTCGATCTCTTGTATTTTAATTTATAATTTTATCATCCTATAATTTAATCATTTATATAAAGTTTACATGCACTCATAGAAAATTCAATTAATTAAGAAGGATGAATTTTATGAAACATTTGATTGATTAATAGACCAATGCCTGAATTTATGACATAAAAATCATAGTTGGAGATTTGAATACAAAGCTGGGTAGAGAAGGCCGCTCCTTCTCAACAATTGGGTCTCAGGACACTAATGACAACAGACAAAAACTCGTTGGACTGGTTGTTTCGAGATATGATGTAAGCAAGTAGATTTTTTCTCATGAAAGAAATGTATAAAGGAACCTGAAGATTCTTAGGCAGGTAAATAATAAACCAAATAGACCATTTCCTGATATCAACCAGAAACTGGTCAAATCTTCTTCTGAGTTCTGTACATAACAGGGAGTAAAAACCTTATAATCCAAAATACTGTTTCTGAAAATACTATTTATTTTTATTTTACTAAACTAAGTTTAGTTTTTGAAAATAATTTAAATTTCATGATTACTGAGCCTAATCATGAAATTTAAATTATTTTATATTATTTTATAATGGTGCATTATTATATTAGGGACGAAATAGTATTGGACTTTTATAACACAATTATGGTACTCAATATCAAAAAAATTAGAAAAGTTAAAATAAATCAATACACAATGGAGTAGTCTAAGCCTTTGATATCTCATCAATGGACTCTTGCGTTGAAAAATTCTGAAAATTTACAATAAATTAATAGGCCACTATACAGAGTGTTGGAGGGTTAAGTGGCCAAACTGAAAATATTAATTAAGGACCTCAAAACAATAAACAAAATTCCAATGAAGATATGTCCGCAAATACTTTGTTTAGGAGATATTCACACCTAAAGATTTTCATTGTTATGAATTATTTCCGTTACATTAAGTAAATAAAATTTATTTATTTGTTCTAACTACTTTATTAATTAGACATAAACATTAAATTCATATTAAATGTTCTCTGTTTTTTGGCAATGATAACTTCCAAATATACAACAATTGATTTATTTGTTGAATTTACATGTTAACGTTTTGGGAAATTTACTCCCATCTTCAGAATTTACAATACCATGTTTTCTTATCGATTCATGGCTTATGTCTGATGTGCTCCTTTGTCATGTTTTAAATTTATGTTATGGATAAATTACAGCATATAATCTCCAGAGCATCAACATTCCTATAGACCAATAATTGGGTGACTGCTCTTGCCATGAGTCGATAAGAAAACATGGGATTGTAAGTTCTGAAGATGAAAATAAATTTTCCAAAACGTTAACATGTAAATTCAACCAATAAATCAAGTTCACATGGTAGCGACTATACTGTGAGTGCAGTTGTAAAAGGTAGCATGAAGCAGTGTAACAGTCACAGTTCAGCCTCAATATGAGGTGTTTAATTTAAGAAATAATGTTTTTTATTTCACTGATGATAACTGGAGACCCGTGGAGTCAGTAATGTTTTTTAATGTGGTGCCACTCACCTTTAAATGTTCTTAATGAAAATAAAATCATATCACCTCCACCCCGCCAGTCATATTGCCCTTTTAACTTCGTCCTAATGTAGTTGATGGTAGTCCTAGTGGAGGGTAATGATGTCCCAGATGTGGGTAAAATAAAACTTGATTTAATATAGAATACGTATTTAAGCCGTACTATTTATTTGTTAATATTAAATGTACATAGATATACACATACACATATACATATATATAATTTTTACTGTTGGCCACGACAAAAGGTCTTGCTAAATTCTTTTAGTTGTCGTCCATGTTTCTGATGCATAAAGCAGGACTGGGTGGATTAGTATATTGTACAGATGTAGCTTGTTCTGTCGGGATAGAAAGTGAGAGGTGAATTCCTTGAAGCGTAACAAAGTAACACTTGTTAGCCATCAATATTCTTTTCTTGACCTCGACCTTGGGTGCATTGTCTTGTGTTACCAGTGACCCAAAATACTTGAACTGCGCTACTTTCTCAAAGTTAAAAGGGCCAATATTGATGATCTCCTGTGTGCTAAGGATTCATGGTGGTTTATAATAACAGTATTATTAGTGTACATGCTCTGATAGAAACTTTGAGTGAGGAAGATAAGAATGCCTTTTATGAACAGCTCGAACGAACCCTTGATCAGTGCCCAAGGTATGATATGAAAATAATTGCTGGAGACTGTAATGCGAAAATAGGGAAAGAAAAGGTATACATCGCAACCATGGGCAAACATAGTCTTCATGATCAATCTAATGATAATGGAACTAGGCTTATTAATTTTGTTGCGTCCAGGGACAAGATCATTGGAAGAACCCTTTTCACACACAAAGATATACATAAAGGTACCTGGACAACACCAGATAGAGAACACGTCAATCAAATAGATCATATCCTTGTCGATAAAAGGCACAAGTCCAGCCTCCAAAATGTGAGAGCATTTCAAAGCGCCAATGTGGATTTCAACCACTTTTTGTTCAATGCCCACATTACTCCTAAGATCTCCTTCAAAAGGTCTGCAGGTCCAGTTATAAAACCTAAGCACTATAACCTTGGAAAGCAACGAGAGCCAGATACCAAACAGCTGTACACTGAGCAACTAGATGAGAACCTCCGTGCTCAGGCTTTAAATATGGAAAACATAGAATTCCTCTGGTCCAGCAGTGTGACCACAATGCAGGAAATTGCTAATAATGTACAAGGACCAAGAGAAAAGGAGTTGAGGACACCATGGTTTGACGAAGAATGTGAGACCGCCACTAATACGAAGAATGTAGCATACAAGAATATGTTGAGAAAAAGGACTCGGAGAGCTTTTGAGGAATATCAAAAGAAGAGGAGGTAGGAAAAACGACTTCATCAAAGAAAGAAAAGACAGAGAGAGAAAGATGAATTGGAGAGGGCTGGAAAATACTGAAAGGAGAAAAAATCAAAAGGCTTTTTCAAGATCATCAATGGGGAGAGAAGACCTCGAAGAAATGTACCTGAAATTCATAGAGACAAGAATGGGAATATAGTGGCCTGCAAGGGTGATGTTCTATTGCAATGGAAAAGCCATTTTGATGAGCTTTTCAACTCAGCCCCCTGTGGAACAGACACTGGATGGATGTCAGGAACCAGGTATCAGACCTTAAACTACCTGATGATGAAGAAATAATGGACACCATTAATCGATTAAAGAATAATAAGGGACCTGGAGCTGATGACCTGCCTGCTGAACTCTTCAAGAACGGAGGTAAGGAACTGATTTAGAGGTTCCAGAATCTAGTCTTGACCATTTGGGAGGAAGAAGTTTTGTCAGAAGACTGGAAAAAGTCAGTTATATGTCCTATCTTCAAAAAAGGTGACAAACTCCAGTGTATAAAAATTACAAGGGTATCTCTCTTCTCTCTTCTGGATATAAGATTTGATCAAACATCCTGTTCTAGCTTCTTCTACCCTTTGTAGAGCAGAAGCTTGGTCCCTACCAATGCGGATTTAGACAAGGAAGATCTACGACAGACCAAATATTCTGCCTCAGAACAATCCTGGAGAGAGGAAATGAACATCAGATTAAAACCCAACATCTTTTCACTGACTTTAAGGCAGCTTATGATAGTATTAACAGAGAAGAACTGTATAAGGCACTTGAAGGATTCAATATCCCAGATAAGCTAATATGACTGTTAAAGCTGACCATGAGAGATGTAATGTGTACAGTGCAGGTTGTTGGTCAAAGGACAGAAGAGTTCTCCTCAACAAAAGGACTTCGCCAAGGTGATGCGTTAGCATGCTTTTTGTTTAACTTGGTAATCGAGAAGGCAGTGAGGGATTCTGGTCTACAAACTAATGGGACTATTTACAATCGGATGGTTCAGCTATTAGCCTATGCGGATGATGTGGACATCATGGGCCGGTGATTGCAGTCTGTTAGAGAGGGATTTTTAATTTTATTGGAGGCCGCCAGAGCACTTGGGTTAGAAGTGAATGAAGGCAAAACTAAATATATGGTCAGAGGAGAAGTCCCTCTACCAGGCGAGACCATCAATGTTGGCCCCTTTAACTTTGAGAAAGTAGCGTAGTTCAAGTATTTGGGGTCACTGGTAACACAAGACAATGCACCCAAGGTCGAGGTCAAGAAAAGAATATTGATGACTAACAAGTGTTACTTTGTTAGCCTTCGCAAGGAATTCACCTCTAGCCTTCTATCCTGGCAGAACAAGTTACATCTATACAAAACAACTAATCCGCCCAATCCTGCTGTATGCATCAGAAACATAGACGACAACTAAAAAAATTGAGCAAGACCTCCTGCAGTAGCCAACAGTTAAAAATCATATATATGTACAAGTATATGTGTATATCTATGTAGAATAGAATAGAATAGAAAATAATTTTATTCTGGAACAAGTTCCTTCGGAATAACTAAATAAACTATTCAGCCTAGATAAAAACAAACACAAAAAGTAAAAAGAAAGAGAAATAAGTAAAGAAAAGATTAGTTAAACGTACTACATACAAAATAAATACAAAAATCTACTATACCAAAACACTTGAAACAATGCCAAGGCACTTAAAACTATGTACAGTGGTAAAATATAAATATACAGTTTTAGATTAAAAAAAATATATAGAAAAAATACATTGCATTCTTCTTAGAAATAAACTCTGTGTCTCTGTAGAAAAAAAAAAAGAAAGTCGAATCTGATAGTAAAAATTGTCAGAGTGTTTACGTGATGAATTATATGTAAATCACAGGCAAATCTACGGGGCGGGGCTTTCAGGCTAAAGCCCCCCCCCTCCCCAAAATGGTAAAATATTACCATGTTTTACAGAAAAAAATATTAAAAACTATCTCTTAAAGTATCCTTGTTCGTGTAATTATATTTAATAAGACTTCAAGAACCACTTAAACACCATTTCACACAGGTTGTTAATTTCTTTCTTTTTTTTTCTAATTAATTATTGTTATATGTATATGAAAAAAAATCTTTCGGGCTGAAGCCCCCCAAAAATAAATTCAGGATCCGCTAGTGATGTAGATACATCATTATGTTAATCATTATGAATAGTATGTAATTTTACATAAAGGTTAGCGGGTATTTGACTGTTTTGGGGGCAGGAATTGGAATAGGAGGATTTTAAATGTAGATAGGGAGGGGGAATGCCGAATTTTGATAGGACGGGAATTCCAGAAATTAACTGAGCGAGCAAGAAAGGAGTTTTGGAATGAGGCAGATCTGTGAGAAGGGATGTAAAGATCGGAAGATCGAGATCTTGTGGAAAGAGAATGGACTGAGGACTTGAATTGGAGAAGGTTGTAGGCGTAAGAAGGACGATGATTGTTGATGATTTAATAGAGGAAGGTGCCTAGGAAATATTGTCTTTGAATGGAGGGGAAGAGCCACTTTAACTCAGTATGTACATTTAATATGAATAAATAAATAGTACAGCTTAAATACGTATTCTATATTAAGGACTAAGAGGGCGCCCAGTATAATGCTATATAGTTTAGTCTTGCTTATGTCCTCATCAGGACCATTTTTAAAGCTCTAGTGTAAATCAAGTTTTATTTTACCCACATCTGGGACATTATTATCCTACACGAGGACTACCGTCAACTACATCATCATCAACTACATTACGTGGAAGTTAATAAAAGGGCAATATGACTGGCCGGTTAGAGGTAATATGATTTTATTTTCATTAAAAACATTTAAAGGTGAGTGGCACAACATTAAAAAACATTACTGACCCCACGGGTCTCCAGTTATCATCAGTGAAATAAAAAACATTATTTCTTAAATTAAACACCTCACATTGAGGCTAAACTGTGACTTGTACACTGCTTCATGCTATCTTTTACAACTGCACTCATAGTGTAGTGGCTATCATGCAAACTTTATATGGTGAAGGTTCCCGTTTCAGTAGCGGTTCCACTAGGATCTTTTTATCTTTTTTTTTTATTATATAAAATTATAATTTAAATTTTATATGCATGTAAATACTTTGTAACATTATTTTAATAAATTTAAATTGATTTAATAATAAATTCCAACAAATTCCATCAAATCACCTTTACCCTCCATCGTAAACCTATGACTTCTTGTCCTACAGTATCCTTCAATAATACTCCACTTATTCCTGTTGAGCAAATCCGCTACTTAGGACTCCACTTGGATAAACATCTTACTTGGAATCCTCATGCTAGACTGAAACGACAAGAAACTGCTCGACGTTTCCGACTACTCCAACACTTACTAGACAAACGCTCTAAACTTTCAATTAATTACTAAAGACTTATCTACATAGCTATAATAAGACCTATATGGACATACGGAGTTGAGCTTTGGGGCTCCACCAAACCATCGAATTCTTATCTTATCCAATCCTTACAATCCAAAATCTTCCGTAAAATCCTTAATGCTCCATACTTTGTCACAAATAAAACCATTCATAAAGACCTTAATGTACCATATGTCGCTGATTTAGCTCGACCCAGATATCTATCCTTTCATGATAAACTTCAGTCCCATCCAAATCCGCTTGTTTCCACTCTTGCTTCTTGATAATCCTCCTAGACGTCTGAAAAGGAGATGGCCTCATGATCTTCTTATTTAAAATTATTTAGGGAGTGCTACCACTGGGTAGTATCTCTTCAAGCCTGTACATGCCATTATTTATAATTTGCACGTATTTACTAGTTGTATTTGTATACAGTTATAAATTTCATTAAATAAACAAAAAAAATTGATTTAATAATTAAATCAATTTCATTTTATCAAATTACAATAACTAATTATAATTCATCTATAGCACTTTTAAATTTAACCCTATGGTTTCCTTTTTTTTTTTTTTTGTTTAATGTTCTAAAGATGATTTTGTTCATTTCATTAATTTTATTTGTATTAAGAGAAACATTTTAGTTCTTATTTATTGCATGTATCATTTAATTTCTTTATTTTAATTTAATTTTAATATATATCCATTATCTGCTATTCGGCATTTATTTTTTTCCTTTTTATAATTTTTTTATTATTACTAAATTTTGCAAGGCACCAGTGCCTATGGATAGGTTGTGCAGACCTGGTAGTTTACACTTGAATGCCCACTGCCGCCACACCTCCTAATCATTGAGAGAAAAATTCTTCGAAGAATATTTGGAGAAGTACAGATCGATGGAAATTAGAGAAGGCGGACAAATGGTAAAATTTATTCTATTTTTAATGATCAAGATGTCGTTCTGAGGATGAAGCTTGGAAGAAAGACTGAGATGGGCTTGCCATGTGGCTATGCGATGCGGGCTAAAAGTGACTATGTTTTGACATGACAGGATAATAGGACATTAGTCGTAGGAGAAGGTAGATTGGGATAGTGAACCGGTAGGAGGGGCAAAAGATAAGGTAATAATTAGGTAGGATTGATCTGAGATACACTGTAAATACTGAAACGATAATAACAAAACTAATGAAAAGTAGAAACTACAAAAAATAGGTAGAAGAAATAATGTAAATACTATCCTATAATTAGTGGAGAAAAGAAACAAAAAAACAGTAGATCCATATAAATGAGAGCAGAAAGCAGTCCCCAAGCAGTCCCATTCCTGTATTTATCACTGGAAAATGAAAGCTAAGAAATGGGCAAAAAAGTTGGAATGAGCAAAAGAAGAAGTAAAGAAAATGAAGAAATGATGATAGCTAATTGAGGAACCCAGGATTTGCCTAAGGGTTGTTCAAACTGTAATAACTGCATCTATCAAGATAACATAATCCACAAATCTGTGAAAAGTAATACTACATAACATTAGAAGTAATCACTGAACAAACCAAGTAATGATTAAAAAAAAACGAAAGAATAATACTTTGAAAAATTAGGTCACAAGATACATTTTTTTAAAAATTTATAATAATAGCAATTAAAAATAAACCTTGAGGTCTGTATTCAAAACCATAATCTTTTCAGTTGATATGAATAGATCCACTTCAGTACTTGGCTGTGTTTCACCTTCAGGAGCCTGTAAAATAAAAATAAAAAGTGCTCATCAAAGTGAATGTGATCATATATATGTACATAGATAGATAGTTCCTTTAGAATAACAAAATTGTACAAACAGAAAAGACCAATTCTGGCCTAAAAGTTTGAAACAATAAATAAAATTTAAAAAATAAACTAAAAAGTAAAGAAAACCTTAAGTGAACAAGCTATATACAAAACAGATAAAACTATGCACAAAACACTTATAACTATGAATAAAACACTTTAAACTATGAACTAAAAACTTAAAACTATGAAGAAAACACATAAAACTATGAACAAAACATTTAAAACTATATATAATGATAGAAAAGTATAAATATACACTTTAAGAAATGAAGAACGAAAAAAAGAAAATAAATTCTTTTCATAAAAAAAATATGGCTTAAGGAGAAGAAGAGCCACCCTAACTCATTGTAGTGGTGGGGGACACAGGAGCATGTTGAGGTCCCAATTACAAATCTTACGAAGCTATTCATAAGTCTTTTCAGTCTATTATGGTCTTTTACGTTTTTTATCGACGCAGCTGCTGTGTGTGTAAATGCAAAGCTTAGTATCTTATACTTTAATGATAATACTTTTGGTACTCCTTAAATAGCCGGTTCGGACAAAACCTCTCTTGTTATCTAATGTTACATCACATAACCTCCCTTTTTATCTTGTGTTTATTTTTGTTCCTGTTGTGAGCTTTGAATTATTCCATCATTTATTTTTGTACCATTAATGCGATTTTCGTCAAATTATGGATGTTATTACATTGTGGGAATTGCCGTCTTCAGAAGAAGAGGCTATCAAATATTTTCAAGACGCCGGGATAATTGCAAAGGTGAAATATTGTGATGAAGGTCATGAAAAGTATTTGATTTCATGATAAAAGTATTTAATCAAACAGTTTTGCTATTATTACATTTGTTTTTGTCTATTTAATATATATCTTTTAAAATAAATCTTTTTTTTTATATTGTTTCTTTTCTATGTACATATGTTGTTTAAGTGTTTTTTTATTATTTCATTTATTTTTGTCTATTTCCTATATCTGTTGTAAAATTAAAGTGTTTTGTTATTGTTGTAGGAATTATTACATTTCTTTTTGACTATTTCAATTTCAAATCAAACTGTTTTGTTATTATTACATTTGTTTTCGTCTATTTAATATATATTTTGTAAAATAAAAATATTTTTTTATTATTACATTTGTTTTTGTTTACAATTTCAATGATATGAATATAATATAATAAATATGAATACGAATATAGGAATTATCAGTGCCTTGTCAGAATTATCAGTGTTAAGGTTATAAACATTGACAGATAGCAGTCAGCCCCGACCGGCTATTTAAGGAGCACCATACTTTTATATGATTCTTGGATACCAACATCCATGATAAAATGTTATGATGGTGAAGGTGGCACCAAATTGATATAGAAATTGTTGAAGTTACTTAACATTTTATTATGCTATGTATGAACTACCAAATAAACTATAATTAGTAGATTAATTTATTTTTATTTATTATATATAACTATATTATATTATATATTATAAGTACCATAAATATAACTCGTAAACTTGAGACAATATAATAATAGCCGATTTTGAGGGATGTAATTTTGATTGCTGATATAATTTTGTCCTGGGGGCCAAAAACTCACGTGACGACCCTGTGTATGAGTGTGTGCGGAGTGGCCGAACAGGCACAGTGTGCACAGCACCACCGTTGCCCTGCAACCTGATATATGAGACAATGGATTTAAAATAGTCACGAGTTCGCATCCCGGTGCCGGTGGAGTCTTAAATCCCTGCCCACACCCCCTGGCTCAGGGAAACCCAGTATGTGTGTGTGTGTGTGTGTGTGTGTGTGTGTGTGTGTGTGTGTATATGTATATATACTTCAAATTATAAGGTTTTAAAATAGATATTAGCACAAAATATAAAAAAATAAATTAACTACTGTGATAATATAATCTATTGTAAGAAAAACTTTGATTTAAACTCATTCATAAATAAAACAACTGCAATCTTTAATAGATATCTTTAATATAATAAGTTAATTTTAGCCCCATATCAAATAAAACATAATTTTCAGAAAGCAACATAAAATTAATTTAAAAATGCCTCATCATGCAGCAGATGTTAGACCAAACCTCAAATTTTAGTTTATTTTATGACCACCATATAAGATGAATATGCACTTCAAAATTAGTAAAAGTTATTTTCTTGAACAGAATGTATGATTTTCATTTCGAAACTTTCAACTTCCTTTCTTTAAACATAGAATTGCCAATAACTATTTTTGAAGTTTATAGGATGTCAAATATGGGCATTAAAAATATTTAAATAAAATACAATTGTGCTTTAAAATTTGAATTAAAAAGAAATGTCTAATTAGTAAAATGATGTGTACCTTTCATAGTAAAAATCTGGTTTGATTAGGGATTTCCAGATATTGCGCAAGTTGCACCATCAAAATTTATTAGCGTGGCACTTTTTGACGGAGTTTTCAATTTTTGAGGGGGGGGGACACATTTCGACAGGATTATGAATTTTTAAAATGAAAAGATTCAAATTACAGACAAGTGGAAGCATGGAACAAACTGCAGGATGTGTAATTGTATATAATCTATGAATATTTAAATTCTACTTTCATTTGCACTGTTTTTAAGAAGAAGAGACGAGTAAAACATCTTGAGAGGGGTGGGGGAATGTTTATGCGCCATAGGTCTTGGGAGGGTAGGCACCCTTGGGTGTGATACATCTTATCGCTTTACTTTCAGTACAATTTTTTTAAAGTTAACAAACCTTCAGAATAAGTTAGAGAAATTGGTTGGGGTGCAGTCAGAAGTAAAACTATTCAAAATTTATTTTTTATTTATTATCTGTTCCCGAACTTAAAAACTTTTTTTTTATTATTTACGATATTTACAACTGTATTAGAAATGAAAATACATTCAGTATTTTTAAGACTGAATATAATGTGATTGAGCAAACAGATAATAACATGAAACCACTTGTTGAGAAAGTACCCACTGGTAGCACTCTAAAATGTATTTACAACAGGAGATTTTGAGGATATCTTCTTTTCAGATGCCTCAGAGGGTTATCAGGATCGAGGAGGAAGAAAGATTAGAAACAAGAAGGTTTGGATGGTTCTGAAGTTTGTTTTGGAAGGATCTGGATTGAGCCAGGTCAAAAACATAAGAAACATTAAGGTCATTATGGATGATTTTATTTATGACAAAGTTAGGAGTATTGAGGATTTTATGAAGGATTTTAAATTGTAAGGATTGGATACAAGAGGAATTCAATGGCTTAGTGTAGCACTCCGTATGCCCAAATAGGTCTTATTGTAGTCATGTATATGAGTCTCTTGTAATTAACTGAAAGCTTAAAGCGTTTGTCTAGTAAGTGCTGGAGTAGTTGGAAACCTCAAGCGGTTTCTTGTTGTTTCAGTCTGGTATGAGGATTCCAAGTTAGACGTTTGTCCAAGTAGAGTCCAAGGTATTGGATTTGTTCAACAGGCATAAGTGGGGTATTATTAAGGGATACTGTAGGACAGGAAGCCTATTTAAGTTATTAAAGCCTATTGACCTGTAAGCCTAATCTCCTTTCTATTTAAGATCCAAGAGAAGTTGGTAGCAGTTCACCTAACGAGTGAGGCGCTACTACAGTATCCTCTTCATTCTAGTATCCCTATCTACAGGGAAAATCTACTGACACTTCCCTACATTCCCTGGGTGGGGAGAATATAAAAGGCCCTGTACTATAGTATAGGATTCTGCTTTAGGACTCTTTTTCGATATCAATGGGGAATTTGTTGAGACTGGGCCAGAGGTAGTTTGTAAAAGGAAATATCTGCTCCCACTGGACAAGCCAGATGGATCACATTCATAGTAAAAAATAGAATTATTGTAATTTCTGAAGCAAGAGTCAGCCTACAGACACAGGCTGTTGACGATGTGTACCCAAGGAAGCCACATCTCACCACTGTTATGGTACTTTGTAATGAATGACCTATTAAGTATATTTGAGCATGCTGAGATTTCCACTCAAGTATTCGTCAATGATGGCTTGACTTTCTTTATAGAAAAGTTCATAAATAAAATTTTTAAATAGATGCATGCCACATGTAATATTGTTCAGGCATGGTGTACTGAAATGTACTAATCAATTAACGCATTAAAGACTATAAGTTAATTTTGTTAACTAAAAAACGTAAGCTGGATATCTTTAAGACTCAACCATTCATTGATAAGCAACTTCAGTTAAGCCAGAATACCAAATACCTTGGTATTATCCTAGATTTTAAATCAAACTGGGAACCTTATTTGGGGTTTTAAACATGCATTGGATACACACAGCAATAATAAAAGCTAGCATACAATATGTAAGTGTTGTGTTGTGTACAGCCCTACATAAGGCTTCTCATGCTCAAACACTTAGTCACATATAAAGAATGGCCTGTTTTGGTGTGAGGTGTTTCGCACAACATTTACTAAGGTCCTAGAAGTTTTACTAACCTTGATACCACTACTCCTATGAACAATAGCAACGGATAGTGGCAAGAAATAGGAATATCTACTGGCCACTTAGTGATAGCCAAAATGGTGGAAAAAAGCAACCGATTTTATGGTATTTCTCCTCATTACTTGACAGAATTCATACTATAGATACAAAGATTAGCTACTTGTACCCTAATATAATAGATTGGGCACAGGGCTCAGGTAGAAACTTAAAAATACTATTTACCCTATTTTACTGACCGATCGAAGAAAGACTCGACTAGCTTAATGGGAACAGGAGTCTATTTAAGGTATTTAAGCACAGAATGAAGCATCCTATTAGGCAACCATTCTACCATTTTTCAAGCGGAACTGTTTAACATACAACTTGCAGCCACATGTTCAGAAGTTTTTAACTGTGAGAAGGCTGGCATTGCTATCTATTCAAAAAGTCAGTCAGATCTTCTAGTCCTAGAGTCCC